GTTCTCTAAATGTTTTGCTATCCTTCTGTGGTTTCATTTAAAAACTATAATTCATAATTAAAATTTTTTGTTGAAAAATGTCTGAACAATGTTAACTTTTGATATTTATTCAAATTAACTTATAAATAATGGTTTAACAAAAATTCCTATATATGTATATAGAGTTGATTGCTTAATAATTTTGATTCCATTTTTGGTTTTTTAGGATTTGTAATTTGAATGTGAGTTTACATGCACTAAAATATTTAAAATATGCTCTCTTTTTTACAATTGTCACTGGCGATCATTACAAGAAAACCATATTTGCTTTTCGATTTCCAGATCATTTCTTTCCATTGATATCATTTCTTTGATTTCTTTGTTTTGATTTGATGAAATAAAAAATGTCAAATATACATATATATATATATTTATATAAACTGGTAAAAGACCATAATTAATGCAGTAATTTATGAAATCTACAAAATTCCTAGCGTTGGATAGTTTTTTAAATATATTTCTCAATATTTATATATGTATAATTCACAAAGAACAAAACTCATAGAACATAACTTTGTTACAATTATAATTCTAGCATATCATTCATATAGAGATAGAGAAAGAGAAAGAGAAAGAGAAAAGGAGAGAGAAAAAGAGAGAGAAAGAAAGAGAGAGAGAAAAGGGAGAAAAAGGGAGAGCGAGAGAGAGAGAGAGAGACTGTCATTAAGTCCTTGAAGAAGTAGTTTATTGAAGGTCTTGCTCCAATTTACGGCCCACAGCACCGCCGCATATGGGCGCAAACTTTTATCTGTAATCTTCATTCAGTTATAAACACTCACATTTTACTTTGTTTTTTTTACATTTATTATTTTCCATTTTTGTCGAAATCATCTTCCACTTCTTGTCTGTAATCATCGTCGTAATTATCATTCATCTGTTTGTCGTCATCATCATCATCATCTTCATGATCATCATGACCATAAATATTATCATCATCTTTTTCTTCTTCTTTTTCTTCATCATCATCTTCTTCATGTTCATCATCACTACAACTATGTTACTTACTCACATCATCATTGACGTCATCTATAACATCATAATATTGAGATTTTATTTTTGGAAAAAAAAATTTATAGACTTTGCATCTTATCCAACTAACGAATGAATGGAGCACGGACAGGCACGTGTATCTCCTCAGCTTTCACCCTCCACCCCCTCTATCCATCCATCCATCCATCCATCCATTCATTCATCCATCCATCCATCCATTCATTCATCCATCCATCCATCCATCTATCCATCCATCCATTCAATGTTTGCTCCTACCATATTTTCCCATCCGAAGTGCTTTCATTTCAATATCATCACATCAAAGCAGCTTTTTTTTACAAAAGCGATATATACGACGGTAATCGTACTCGCCAGTGATAAACGCTCACAGGTTTGGTTTCCATTTTCAAAATTA